CCTCGGTAATTAGATATTATTTTAAAATAACATTGAGGATACATGTGTTAGAATTATCTAATAGAATACGTTAATTAATTTTTTTTTATATGTTACATTTCTTTTTCAGGATGAAAAGAATTTGATCTATCAAGAAATTAGATCAACAACCAGTGATACATCTGAATTGAGTAAAATATTTTTATACATATATTACAGTTGAACTTTGATATTTCAATTCTCTAATACTCGTATCTCCAATACCATGAATATATCAAATGGATTATTGGGTCCCAACCCCTTTTTCTTTGACTACTTTACCCTGAAAATATGAATCCTCATATATCTCATGTTTTTTTTCTCTCAAGTTCTAGATAACAAGGTTTAAACATACATGTATATCCATTGATAGAGCAGATTATGTATTAAAATTATAATTATAGCTGTGAAATGATTTTAACTTTTGCAGGAGAAATGCACCTGAATGCCATTTCTTCAGTAACAAAACGTATTGTAACTGTACATTCTGAGGATGGAATAGCAAAATATTATCCCCGTGAGAATACCATAAGTGTGGCTCTGGCAGGCCTCCATATATCCTTGGCTTTTGTACCACTGAAGGGTGATAGTGGTAGGTCTTTTTTGCCAGTAGTTGATGGCTGTCTTGTGGGTAGAGGACAGAGATTTTTCAACAAATGTGGAGCTCTAGATTTTGAAATATGTCAGGGAGACTTTGGGGAGAAGATAGAGTGCTCTAAATGTGGTCGCAACTATCACAAACATTGTTTAGAAACAGAAGGGAAACCTCTTCATTGTGGATGCCACATTTTGATGCCTTACCATCTGAAGGAGTAATTAGAAAAATTACTGCATTAATTTTAGTAATTTAGGCATATTTTTCATTTTACCTTTTGTGATTTTTTTTTAAGAAATGAATAGATAATTCTGTTTTTTTTCTAGTAAAACATTCTATCAGGATGATAGCAGGGTGCATCAGTTGCTGAAACAAATAAATTTGCAGGTACTTTCATGTTAATATTAGCAGTCACGTGATCTCAAATTTGATGCAGGCAAATTGTTACAGATTCAACACCTTAGAACAATAATTGGCAATATGCATATGCAAATAGGAAAATAGCTCGGAAATAATCGGAAAATAGCTTTTCAGAGCTATGTTCATTGTTGATGTACCTGACTTATAATAAATATAATCTTATCTTATCTAGATCTAACTGATTTTGAAGAAATGTTTGACAAAATATAATTCAGAAAGCTAGACTATGAAGGATATGATCTGGGTGTAAACATTAATTATCAATTTTACATTCCATCAAAATTTACAATTTTTTTCCTGTTAAAAAAGGAACTGATAAAGGCAATAGAAAGTCAAAAACGACCATCTTTTCGAATGGAGATCTTCAGAAGCAAAAGCTTTAGAAGAAAACAAATACAGATGGAGAAGCAAAAGTCTCTTATGGTTTTGTCTGAGGAAATGGTAAATATTCAAATAGTGTCTTTTGTAACTAATTGTTGAAATAGTTTGCATGTAACAAACCTTGTATATTTGAATTTAATATTTATTTAAATACATGTAGCAAAAATTTATCTTTTAAATTTTTCTTTTTAAGATCCATTACCTTCAAAAGACTATACAGAGGTTAATACACTGCAGTGTAAATGATGCTCTAGATATATACATACCAGAGGTAAAAATGCAAAAACATGTAAATGACATTATTATGCATTACTTGGAAATATTAAAGGTCATACAAATTGATCAGTTCTTTCTTAATTTAGTTTGTATTAAAATTTAAACTACCACAAAAGTTGTGGCAACATTATTTAAAAATAAATACTGTATACAAGGTTATTTTCGCCCCGTTTAATTTTCGCCCCTTCACACTTGCAAACAATTTTGTCCCGTTTTAAATCTGCCCAATCATAGTTATATTAAAGAAATTATACTGTACTATATCCTTTCGCCCCGTTTTAAATTCGCCCAAATGAGGAAAGGGCGAAAATAAAACGGGGGCGAAAATTTCCCTGTATACAGTAATTTTATAATGCATTGTATTTTTAATATGGCTCATACATCTCTTTTTATTAAAAAGATTTTCAAATCACCTTTTTACTGAGATGAATTGATTTTAAATTGCAGATTTTAGTCCAGATAATTAAAAAACAAGAAAATGTTAATAGACTTGTTGCAGAATTAATGTTCCTTGAAATGTGAGCAATTCCCCTTCCTTGTCCCTGATGTGGAAACCAACTTAAAAACTGATGTAAAAGAGAAAGTATTTGAGCACAACAAAATCCTTTCTGAAAGGCATCAGAAACAGAAAATCCACACATTTCATACTGTGAAATGATCTCATATTTGATGTAGGTATAAGACAATGTCTGTATGAGTGTTAATCTACCTGTACCTGATGTGAAATGATATCATATTTGATGTAGGTATAGGACAATGTCTGTATGAATGTTTACCTACCTGTACCTGATGTGAAATGACTGTGCATTTGATGTACCGGTAGGTTTATGACAAGGTCTGTATGTGTGTTAACCTACTTGTACCTGATGTGAAATGACTGTGCATTTGATGTAGGTATAACAGGTCCAGTCCAAAGACTATTTCTACCTACGTAGCTATTAATAGCTACCTAGGTATTTAAAGCTACCAAAAGTAGCTATTTTTACCTACTTTATATAATTTCTGCATTTTGCGACCAAAAGACCAAACGGCGCAACATGGTAAATACCTTAGTTTTTGATATGGTCACACTAATGATGAATACGAGAAAAATTTTGCCAAAAAAATGATTACTTCCTAAATCGGCAATTTTACATTAGTTTCTATGTAAAATTGATAATATACGAAGTTTTCATTTTTTGGCCAATTTTTTGTCATATTCATCATCAGTGTGACTGTATCAAGAAATTGTGTGCTCACCATGTTGCGCCGTTCCTGCATTTGGCTACAAAATGCAAGTAAAGCAGAAAGTAGGTAAAAATAGCTACTTTGGGTAGCTTTAAATACCTACGTAGCTATTAATACCTACGTAGGTAGAAATAGTCTTTGGACTGGACCTGTATAAGACAATGTATGTAAGAGTGTTAACCTACCTGAACCTGATGTGAAATGATCTCATATTTGATATAGGTATAAGACAATGTCTGTATGAATGTTAACCTACCTGTACCTGATGTGAAATGACTGTGCATTTGATGTAGATTTATGACAAGGTCTGTATGAGTGTTAACCTACCTGTACCTGATGTGAAATGATATAATATTTGATGTAGGTTAATGACAATGTCTGTATGAATGTTAACCTACCTGTACCTGATGTGAAATGATATAATATTTGATGTAGGTTAATGACAATGTCTGTATGAATGTTAACCTACCTGTACCTGATGTGAAATGATATCATATTTGATGTAGGTATAGGACAATGTCTGTATGAGTGTTAACCTACCTGTACCTGATGTGAAATGACTGTGCATTTGATGTAGGTATAGGTCGATGTCTGTATGAGTATTAACCTACCTGTACCTGATGTGAAATGACTGCATTTGATGTAGGTTTATGACAATGTCTGTATGAGTGTTAACCTACCTGTACCTGATTCTTTTCTAACTCTAACACATTCTAGACTCCAAGTAAAGGTTAACCCACATCTACGTGATCTGAAATAAGTTGCTTATAACTCTAACACATTCTAGACTCCATGTAAAGGCTAACCTACATCTGCGTGATCTGAAATAAGTCGTTTCTAACTCTAACACATTCTAGACTCCATGTAAAGGCTAACCTACATCTGCGTGATCTGAAATAAGTCGTTTCTAACTCTTAACACATTTTAGACTCCATGTAAAGGTTAACCTGCCTCTACGTGATCTGAAATAAGTCGTTTCAAACTCTAACACATTCTAGACTCCATATAAAGGCTAACCTACATCTGCGTGATCTGAAATAAGTCGTTTCTAACTCTAACACATTCTAGACTACATATAAAGGCTAACCTACATCTGCGTGATCTGAAATAAGTCGTTTCTAACTCTAACACATTCTAGACTACATGTAAAGGCTAACCTACCTCTACGTGATCTGAAATAAGTCGTTTCTAACTCTGACACATTCTAGACTCCATGTAAAGGCAAACCTACCTCTGCGGCGTGACCTGAAATAAGTCGTTTCTAACTCTAACACATTCTAGACTCTATGTAAAGGCTAACCTACCTCTGCGTGATCTGAAATAAGTCGTTTCTAACTCTGACACATTCTATACTCCATGTAAAGGCTAACCTACCTCTATGTGATCTGAAATAAGTCATTTCTAACTCTAACACATTCTAGACTCCATGTAAAGGCTAACCTACCTCTGCGTGATCTGAAATAAGTCGTTTCTAACTCTAACACATTCTAGACTCCATGTAAAGGCTAACCTACCTCTACGTGATCTGAAATAAGTCGTTTCTAACTCTAACACATTCTAAACTCCATGTAAAGGCTAACCTACCTCTGCGTGATCTGAAATAAGTTGCTTATAACTCTAACACATTCTAGACTCCATGTAAAGGCTAACCTACCTCTACGTGATCTGAAATAAGTCGTCTTATCCCACTGATCATAATATCGACTGCACTTGTCCTGTAGATGCAGTTTTGCAAAACTCTTACATATAAATTATTTACTCTATGAAAAATTAAAAAATTTAAAATGCATGCTAGAAAACTATTTTATTAGCTTTAATTATCCTATGAATTTTATATATTGTCTATCTATTTGGGGCAACTGTACTCAAATACTTTAGGCTGGTTAACGGTTTAATTAGCTTTTATATTTACAGAAAAGCATTACTAATGTTCACAATACTTCATTGTAGGTCTCCCGATTGTATATGCATAATCTTTTTTGAATTTCAATGGTCTGGATCAGACACGTTGCGCTCAGAAACAAATTCCGAACTTCGATTACCAAAATATAAAATAAACGTATTTAAAAATTTCTTTACAATATCCAGGCGTTGTAATTTGTTAGGCGTTACCAGTTAGTATCAGGAAATCACAATCCCTTGCAATATTTAAAAGAAGTTTTGAAAATACTCTGCTTATGAACCGCAATTGTTCTATGTAATTTTTTTTTCTCTATATATATTTACTGAAATATTGAAATTTTATTTATTCTTTGTTACATACTGTTGGTATTTTTTTGTTTCATAATTGTGATTTGTACTTATTGTATACATTGTGAATCAGTTAATTATGAAGAAGACCCAAGGAAGACTAGTGCTTGCACTAATCGAGTAATCTTCTATAAATAAAGTATCATTATTATTATTATTAAATGGGTTGTCTTGAACTTAAACACATCGTATCCCCCTTTTCTGAATATCATGATATCCAATTCAATAAAATTATACGACCCACATACATGTACATTGTCTAATAGAACGAATAACAAAATCCGTTTTTTTATCGGAGAATTACCTTAGAAATAATTATTTTTAAACTAAATACAGAAATATCATTTTCCGTTTTTATCTTCAAAGTCCATTGATAATTCTTTGAAATCTTAAATAAGTATTAAGCTGTATTTCGTTTTGAAAATATTGAATCCTAAATATTCTGACCTATTTTGAGTGAAGAATCGTGCGTTTGCGTTAACAATCGTGTAAGACCGTGTAACGTGTAGAGTCGTGAACGTGAAAGATCGTTCGTGTAACAGGTTTAATCGTGCGGAATCGTGCGTGTAACGTGATCGTTCCTGTAAGTTGTCAACAATAACGTTCCAGCCACTGTATACATTTTAGAATACACTTCATTTCATCTGTATAGTGAAATACAAGTAAATTATATTCAACTCCTACAGTTCAGAATGTAGCTTTACACTGCAAGTCTTTCTCCCACTACTCTTATTAAGTATTTAGAATCTTTAGGTGCTCAAATTGAGAGGAAATATAAAATATGACTTTTCCTATACCTTAAACTGAAAGTATTATTTACAGCCGTTTTTAGCCAACTGCGCAATATGAATACATTACAAAGGTTTTCATACTTACATTTAAAACACTCTTAGTATAGAAAGACATTATCCCTTGCGTTGTGAGATAAATAAGTCGTTGTTGCAAGAGTCATCTCATTTTAAATGTGTACAATATTAATTATAAGTCATCAAAGTCCATCATCTTTGTAATTTAAGGTTTACACTTCTCGCATTCAGGTAAGTAGACAATTTTATTTCGTAATTTCAATTTCTAGGGAAGTTTTTTGATGTTGGTGGTGATTTTTTTATTTTTATATTTAATGCAAATATAGTCCTTTTGTGAGGTAAATACATGAATATCATCACTGAAAAGCATACATGTACCTGTTTAACTGGAAGTACCAGTTTTTCATATTGATTCATTGCAAATAAAAATAAATTTCATCAAATCTTTGTTTTACTGTGTGTGATTCTAAAATAGTAAATAGTCACTGACAAGTGACAGTCACCCCGAACCCGACTGTAGAATATTTATTATTCCCCTCTTGGGGTAGCAGTCATACTACATATGGGGTAACCCATGTCTATTCTTGTTTAAAATTGTAAATGATATAATATACCCGGTTATTTAAAATGTATTCTTTGCAAGTTCAAAAAAAGGTCAAGGTCACGTGGAGTTTCAAGGACCTTTGTAAATTACTTCATGACATACGTTGTTCAATTTCATACAGGATTATGGATGTCTTCATCAAACTAAAAGAAAATGGTTAAGCTGAATGTGCCGTATAGACCATGAAAAAAGGGTCTATACCGTTTTTGACTAAATTCTTCACTGCTGAATGATCCCAGGTTAAGTGCCGTGTACAGAACATTTTGCATCTCTCTTCCGGCAAATTGGCATCCCCATATGAGAGAAACACGCAATAAGGAAATCACGAATATTTTGCTGTACGAGTTACTAGGAATCCATATATTTTGATTCAAGTAAGGTGTACGTGGTTGAATCTGTTTTATGTCTCATTCTAATGTAAATCGATACCATTTAGCAGATTTCATTGTTTTATTAATTTGTTTCTTGTAGGAAAACCATACGAGACTTGACAGGACTAATATGAAGACTGTACTGTCCGTGTTCTAGACATCTGTAACAAAGAAAACACGTCTGCTCCGTTTAGTGCTTTAATTCAAAACTACATGACAATGATTACACAAATCGGCGTGACTGAATCTGTCAACATCAATTACTGAATTTGTATTTAACATAAAACATTCTGCTGGTATAGCAAATTCCTAAATGTGGGAAAACATTTAAATTTTATTTACTATTTTTAAGATATGAACATATCACAGATATTACAGAGACCAGGTTTGACCATCATTTAAGGGCACCTTTAGTCAAAAATAATTGTTCAATTAAAATATATATTTGGTTATTTAAAATCCAGTCCTGAAAAAATCACGTTTGTAAGATGTGTGGTTTAGCTGAAATTAATTAAAATGTCAAATGCTCGGTGAAATTAACCTCAGCTCGGC